TTTGGGATATGTTTTGGAGCTTCTTCTTGGTCCAGCCACTTAGCTGGTCATATCTAGTTGTTATATAAAATCCACTTTTTATCTCATGTCACAATCCAATAGAGAAATGGCTTATTGTTGAGTAGAACAAGAGAAGATGACACTTCACAATAATTATTTCTTTTATTTTCAGTCAACTCACGAGGCACCCACTTATCAGCTTTTACCCACTATCGACTTTTTTAAAGGTTTTAAACCTTAAAAAGGTTTTTGCCATAGGGCACATGAACTTGCTGGAGAGAGACAGGAACAGAGAAAATGACAAATTGCTCTCAAGAGGGATTGGCTGGTCCACAGTTCCTTCTCCAGTTTCCCCTCAGGACTTTGGATCTGCATGCATATGTGCCTGGTGTGATTTTTCAAGCCACTGGGTCTAGGATTTGAACCACAGTGAGCCATGTGGGAGTCCAGTGCCTTAATTAATGCACCACCTGCTGACCCCTTATTGAGTTTTTTGTTTTGCTTTGTTTTTGTTTTTTGTTTTGTTTTGTTTGTTTTGTTTTGTTTTGTTTTTTGCTTTTTTTTTTCCTTTCCAAGTGGCTTTTAATGCTGAATGACCAGAGAATGCTCTATGTTGAGTTCTTCGGCAACTTCTCATGTAGTTGTAGAGGATCAGCTTCAATGTTCACTCTCAGTTGGCAGCTGTCAACTTCCAATGGCCAGCTAAGATGCTTCTCATCTTCAAGGCTCTCTTCTTTGCAAATCTTCTTTGTTACATTTTAAAAATATGTTTTTGGAGAGGTTTTTGCTATAGGGTACGTGCGCTTGCCAGACAGACAGAGAGAGACAGAGAGACAGAAAGCAATAAATCACCCCCCAGGGGGGATGGCCACACTACAATCCCTTCTCCTCCATTCTCCTCTTGGGATCTTGGGCACGCATGCACACGCACCCGGCATGAGTTTAACCCACCGGGTCTGGGACTCAAACCGCAGTCAACTACATGGGAGTCCAACAGAATAGTCATTATGCTAACTGCTGGTCCCTATTTATTTATTTTTAATTTGAATTTAATCATTGTATATCTTTATAGTATATATGCTTTTTCCCAGCCTGAATATAGTGCATACTAGTCAAGCCAAAGACATACTGTATACATTATCATCAGCAGATCATTTTTCATTTTTGTGTTTATTGAATGTGTTGTTTGTTTTCTCCTGATCTGCTCCCTTCCACCTCCTCTACTCCCTCCCCCAAACCCTGTCTCTAGTATCTACAGTTGCTCTACCTGCTATTATACCTTCCAACTTTTCAGTTTCAGCTATGGAGCACAGACATTTGTTATATATTGAGCAGGGACATACTCAGTTATTGCACATTTTCTTTTTAAGATGTGTGTCTGTTCCATGGTCAGTACAGTCCAAATGCATTCACTGTATGAAAGTCAAACCACTTAGTGACTCCAGACTTTGTTTGGCTAACACTGAGGCACCAATGCCATGGTGTAGAGTAGATTCTCATGGCAGGCATAATCTCACCCAAGGCTCCAATTATAAAATTAAGAGAAAATAGAGAAAACAACAACAACAATAAAACAAAAAAGTGTAAAAAGGAGAAGCTGGCTTGTGGGAACTAGATGCTGGGCAAGGGAGCCACTGCCTCAGCCTGTGGCCCCCTCCAGTGCCCAGGTTCAACTCATCCTCTGGTCCTTTTTTTCTTGATTGAAAAAAAGAAAAGGTTTGACATTAAAAAATAGCCAATGGATTGTGGGAGATGGGTGTGTAAAAATTCTTGAATCCCCACTGCACTGTATGTTTATACCAGTTCCTGGGCCAAGTGCATTGTTGGGAGATGTCCCCACTGATTTACAACCCATTGTGAAATTGAGCAAGAAAATCTCTTGATTTCTTGCTTGTCTAACATAATTTCCATAGTCTAAAATACCCATAAAATGAACAGTATGTAATAAGTTATTAACAAAAAGAAAAATAGAGCACTAAATGGAAAATGGTGTACAAGAGAGCCACATTTATTAAGAATATATTCAATATCAAACAGCAAATTTCAACAATGCAAAACCACAACTGCTATTGAATTAACCTAAGGTCAATTTCTGATAGACTTGTATTATTAAAGTTTCCAATGTCTGGTCTATTCTGAGTTAGTTTTTAGGAAGAGTGTAAGAGTGTAAGGTCTACATCTAGATTTTTTTCTTCTTTTCTTCCTTCCTTCCTTTTTTTCTGTCTCTTTCTTTCTTCTTTCCTTCTCTCTCTTTCTTTTCTCTCTCTTTCCTTTCTTCTTCCATCCTTCCTTTTTTTTATTTGCTTATGGATGTCTCATTCCAGAAACATTTGTTGAAAAGACTATGTTTATTACATTGTATTGCTTATGCTCTTTTGTCAAAAATCAGTTGCCTGTGTTTATGAGAATCTTTATCTGGGCTCTCCATTGATCAATTTGATTATTCTTTCACTAATATCAAATAGTCTTGATTACTGTAGCTTTATTATAAGTCTTTGGTGAAGTCAGTTCTTCAACTTTGTTCTTAATATTTTGTTGGCTATTCTGTATCATTTGATCCTGCACATAAACTTTAGAATCCATTTGTTGAAAATCACAAAATAACTTTTTTGAACATTATAATTGAGATTGCAATAAATCAATTTGATTGATTTAATGATCAAGTTGGAAAGAACTGATACCTTAATAACATGGAGAATCCTTATCCATGAAATTGGACTATCTTTCCATTTGTTTAGTGTTTACATTGACTTGATCAGAGTTTTGTAATTTTTCTCATATAAAACGTGTACATATTTTGTTAGATTTCTGTATAGGTTTTTAGATAATTGTCCTGTGACCTCATTTCTCTGCTTGGCCCAAGAAAAGACATTGTCTCTGAATTTGCACAATGTTTCTTGCTTTAAGGATGAGACTATTGACTTTCCAACCTTTTACATGTTAGAATTGGAAATTCCAAGGTATTTGTGTATTTGAAATATTTTACTAAATATTTCATTATAGAGATTAAGTAAAGGAAATAAAGGAAGCATAGGTTGTGCATGAAAAGTTCTGGGAATGTCAAGTAGTTTGATGTGCTTGAGGTCACAGTGTATGTGTGAAGGAGGCCACACATAGACTGATGAAAACAGTGCTGGGAGGAGGGTCCTTGCAGAGTGCTTTACATTTTGTTTCATCAAATAATTTTTGTCTTATTCTTTTCTAAATTTTTCATGAGTAGCATTGGGTCCAGTAAGCAGAAAGTATTTAATAAAATTCTATTTATTAAATAAAAAACAATGGAAGGAAAATATATTTGAAAAGCCATACTTACAATTAAGTTGAAATGATACTTCACATTATTCTTAAAGAATATCAAGGGATTTATTACAGAACACATTTAAATAATCAGCTTAGCATGTTCTTAAGTACTTAAATATATAAAAATACATTTTAATTTCCCATGTTTCCAGATGTTGAGGAACTCTGAATTTAGATGGTGATTTTTGAATTTCAATGAATAGTTATAGCTACCTCTTGCCGTTTCCCTGGTGAATAGGAATTTACTCTTTGGGTAATATCCCTGAAATTAACACTGATACTCAAACTCTCTGGTGGTGGTTTAATGTTCTAGTTGTCCTCTCCTATATTTCCCCAAGGACTATTGTTTCTTTGGAGTTCCCAAGACCACAGCACAGGACATTTTCTTTGTCAAGTGTTTTCTTACCTAATTTTAAGGAAAACAATTCTTCACTACCCTTACAAAGTGAAATAATAGTAATTTGTATTTTGCTTTCTTGTCCATGATTTTAGTTTCCTTTAGGAATGAAAATATTGGGTTATTGGAAAAGTCATAACACATTTTTGCATTAAAAAAAAACAGATAAATACATCATGAGTTTTCTGACAACCCAAAAGATATGCAAGGCAGAGCTTTGTCATCACAGATGGCAATTGAATATTAATCCAGGAATCTGATGAGAAACTTAGATATGTCAGTCCATGAAAACTGTCTCAAGTCTGGCATACAGAAATTCACCAGATTTTATAAATAAAGACCATATGTGGTGTAAAATGTTAAACTATAGGAGATTTTGAGACTATTTTAGTATATTTTATATTACAAATGAAGGAAGTCAGGCTTGGATGACTTCAGAGAATTGTGCTCTTTTACTAACTACTTGCTGGCAAAATTGAAATTCATTTTCTTTTCTTTTTTTTCTAACTGTTTTTCCCCATGAAGCTCATGCACTTGCCAGAGAGGGAGACAGGCAGAGAGAGGGAAAGTGAGAAGTTAGCCCCACAGGGAGGATGGCCATGCCACAATCCCTTCTTTATTCTCCTCTCAGTATTTTGGGCATGCGTGCACACACACCTGGTGAGTTTCAAACCACCAGATCCAGGACTCAAATCACAGTCACTCATGTGGGAATCCAAAGTCTTAACCACCACGCCACCTGCTGGCCTCAAATTCACTTTCTTATTTTTTTTTAATTGCTTAAGGGTATGCACACTCACTAGAGAGAGACAGAGAGAAAGAAAGAAGGAGAAAGTAACCCCCACAATTCCTTCTCCATTTCTCTACCCCATTGGTATTTGGGACTTGCACACACATGAGCTCAATGTTTTGCAAGTTTCCAAGGCTGGTATTTGAACTAAGATTGACCATGGCGAATCTAGCTCCCTTAACCACTATACCATAGGGCTGGTCCTAAAATTTATTTTCAATTTAACAATCTTTTCCCTATCTCAGTTTTGAAGGCTGATTATTTTTAATTCTCAAAACCTGGAAAAGGTCTCAATGCTTTCTTGAGCTTTATGCCTAGTGTTTGTAACCAAATATACAATGTTCAAATGTTTAGTGTCTTATAGAACCACTCACAAATTTCTTCTTATGGTAAATGAAATAGTAGAGAAATCCCTCGAGGGGGCAGAGGAAATTATTTCAGAGACAATTGCAGATCCCCTGGTAAATATGATCATTTTCTTCAGCAGTTCATTCACCAGGTTATACCAAGCAGATGAATCCAGTAAATCATTCCCAGGTGACAGAATTCATCCTTCTGGGTCTTTCTCAGGTATGAGAGCTGAGGCTTCTCTCCTTCATTATCTTTTCTACTGTGTATATTATGACTGTAACTGGAAATCTCCTTATTGTGGCCATTGTGACCTCTGACTCACACCTGCACACAACCATGTACTTTCTGTTGGGCAATCTTTCCTTCCTGGACTTTTGCTACTCTTCCATCATGACACCCAGGATGCTGGTGTATTTACTCTCAGGCAACTGCACCATTTCCTTCAGTAGCTGCCTGACTCAGCTCTTTTTCTTCCACTTCATTGGACGCATAAAGATCTTCCTGGTGATGGTTGGTCATGGAGTATGACCACTATGTTGCCATTTCCCAGCCCCTCCACTACGCACTTATTATGAATCAGACAGTCTGTGGGCTCCTCATGGCAGCCTCCTGGGTGGGGGGCTTCATTCACTCCATTATGCAGGTTGGCCTGACTCTCCATCTGCCATTCTGTGGGCCTGACAAGCTGGACAACTTCTACTGTGATGTGCCTCAGCTGATCAAATTGGCCTGCACAGATACCTTCGTCCTTGAGCTCCTGATGGTGTCTAACAATGGCCTGGTGACCCTGATGTGTTTTCTGGTGCTTCTTGTATCTTACACAGCCCTGCTAGTCATGCTCAGAAGCCACTCGAGGGGGGACCGCAGCAAGGCCCTGTCCACCTGTGCCTCTCACATTGCTGTGGTGACCTTAACCTTTGTACCTTGCATCTACATCTATGCAAGGTCTTTTCAGACCTTCCCCATGGACAAGGCTGTCTCTGTCCTGTACACAATGGTCACGCCCATGCTGAATCCTGCCATCTACACCCCAAGAAACAAGGAAGTGATCACAGCCATGAAGAAGCTGTGGAGGAAGCAAGAGGACTTTATTGACCCCCAGATCAGCAGAGAATCTGACAGGTGCTTCAGGGTATCCACTTGCTGGAGAAGACTCACAAAGTAGACAAACTACTTGTTACTCTTCTCCATTGTTCTTGGTTTCCATCAAGGTCTGGTGACCAGAACTTTGAGCCAAGCCAGGACATGGGATGAGTGTCCTAGAACTGGTTCCAAGTGTCTCCTGGAGAAAGTGTTAAGTGCTTTTCAAAACTACTATTAGGTTCAGGGGACCAGCAGGTGATATAATGGTTATGTCACTCAACTCTCATGTAGTCGACTGCGGTTCAAGTCCTGGACCTGGCAGCTTAAACTTATGTCAGGTGTGTGTGCGTACATACCCAAGATTCCAAGAGGAGAATGGAGGAGAAGGGACTGTGGTATGGTCATGACCCTGGGGGGGGGTGTGTGATTTCTCGCTTTTTGTCTCTCTATCTTTTGAGTGATTTTGTGGGTCACCCTCTTCCCAATGAAAAAAAAAAAAAAAAAAAAAAAAAAAGAAAGAAAGAAAAAGAAAAATAAATAAATAAATAAATAAATAAATAAATAAATAAGAAAGACAGAAAGCATCCTTAGTTTAGCAGGCATGTCCTCAGATGAGCATGACACTGACCCTGCTAAGAAAGTTCCAATTGCAGTATGCACATAGGGAAGAAATCCGGTGTCTCTTTCCTGATATCACTTCTTGAACACAAAGTACATTTGAAGAACTCAAAACATTTTTAAACTTCCTAAAGAAAATAACAATATGGAGATTAAAGTAATTGTAGGTCCCCAAGTCTCAATTTCAGGTGAATAAATATATGTTAGTGAAGAACAAGGGAAATGCATAAGCAGTTTACCTTCTTTCTTGTAACTTTTTTTTTTCTTATATTTTGTTATAGGGCATGTGCACTCACCAGAGAGTGACAATAAAAGGGAAAATAAGAAATCACCACCGGAGTGTGTGTGTGCGGGGGTGGCCATACCATATTTCCTTCTTACCATTTCTTCTAGGGATTTTGGGCATGTGACCATATGCACGTGGCTTGATATTCAGGTTTTTGGGTCTGGGACTCAAATTGTGTTCTGCCATGTGGGAGTTCAGTGCCTTAACCACCACATCACCCTCTGACCTCTCATAATTTCTTAAGGTCATTATTATTGCCATCATCACCATTATCATACTATTTGGTAAGAGTGTATTAATGCTAGACCTTATACCAAGAGATTTTACATTTATTATTTATTTGATTTCTCTCCAAATTTCTATGAAGTAGGTAACATCATCATTTTAAAAAATGAGTCAATTGCAGACTGAAGATATCAACTACAGTATTGAAGACCCCAGAACTTGTTTTTGGAATACAACCCAGGTTTCTACAACACTGGAACCTGAGTTCTTGATGGTACCTTGTTGGCGTCTGCCCCGGGGCTTGGGTCTAGCTGAATCATGATCAGGGGGCTGCTGGTGAGGAAGAGAAATAGGACAAGAAAGAGAGAGCCCTCCATCTTGAGAGGACCAGGGAATTGGAAAGAATGAGACAAAGAGAGAGAGTAATGGACATAGGCTGCCTGAGCCTTTGCAGCCCAAGCAACTTATGCTGTTGCTTGAGCCACCCAGACAAACTGGGCCTCTTTCTTTATAGTACAAGGAGACATTACACATGTATGTTTCATGACACTGCATGGATTTGTTGCCAGGTTACAGACAATAAGAAGCAGGTAACAAATCTATAAGGGCTTAGTCATACTGGACCAGGTGTATCCCTTGCTGATAATCCCATTTAGAGAAAATCCCATTATCTTCTTTTCGAATGGAGAGACACCCAGTTTAAGGCTAAAGAATCTCTCCATGTGGCGTGCACCACCACACCCAGAGAAGGCTAAAGAACCTTTCAGATGCAGAGCAGGGATTGGACTTTGCTAATTGGGTTCAACATGTTTCTTGAACTTCATCAGATGTTTCTGTTGGAATGCCACTAGCAATTTCCACTCTGCTCTGTCTGCAGAGAGGGTCAAGGAAAGGGCAAGTGGGACCAGCAGTTAGTGTAATGGCTATGTC